CCTCGGCATCTACTCGCTGGAGGGCGCCAAGGACGAGATGGTCCTCGGGAGCCCGGCCGTCGTCCGCGCCTCCGTGCGCCTGCCGGGGGACCGCGGCAACCTCACGGCCCTCCCCCCAATCTTCCCCCCTCCTCCTCCTCCTCCTTCTCCTCCTCCTCCTCCTACTCCTCCTACTCCTCCTAAACGTCATCGGCATCATCATCATCATCATCATCATCATCATCATCATCATCATCATCATCATCATCATCATCATCATCATCATCATCATCATCATCATCATCATCATCATCATCATCATCATCATCTCATCATCATCACCATCATCATCATCATCATCATCATCATCATCATCAGCATCAGCATCAGCATCAGCATCAGCATCAGCATCAGCATCATCATCAGCATCACCCTCATCAGCATCATCAGCATCATCATCGCCACAATCACCATCACCATGATCATCATCACCATCATCACCATCATCATAATCATCATCATCACCATCACCATCACCATCATCACAATCGCAACCATCATCGTCACCGTTATGATCGTCAGCCTCGGAAGCACTCACAACATCATACTCATCATCATGACCATCGTCATCATCACCATCATCATCATCAACATCACTATCATCATGATTACCATTATCGTCACTAACATCGTCATCGTTATCATCGTCCGCCCGGGCACCATCACAATCATTTTATTCATTGTTACCATCAGCAGCAGCAACATCATCACCATCATCATCATCATCGTCATCATCATCACCATCATCAGCATCACCAGCATCATCATCATCACCATCATCAGCATCACCAGCATCATCATCATCATCAGCATCCTCATCATCATCATCACCATGACCATGATCATTATCACCATCATCACCGTCGCCATCACCATCGCCACCATCATCGTCATCGTTATCATTGTCAGCCCCGCCCCTGCGAGGGCCGCTGTTCTGGATCCGACTCCTTCCCCATCGTTCTCGCCCCCCTTCCCGGCCTTTTTGTTCCTTCACCGCCTTCCAATGGCCCTCCTGCCTCTCCCGCTTCTCCTCCTGCTGCTGCTGCTCCTCCCTCCTCCTTCTCTTCCTGCTGCTCACCCACCGCTTCCTCCTCCAGTGTGCACAGCAGCTCCCTGCTCCGAAACGCACCACACGACGGGGTCAAGTGGGGGACCCTGGTCCGCTCTGACGCCTGTCGGCGGATCGAGGACATCGGGGCGGGGGGAGGGGGCTGGGCGGGAGGGGTGCCGAGGAGGCCAGACGCGACGCGAGCGCGCCCAGCCTGCCCCCGTGCCAACCTTCCCCCCCCCATGTCCGCCTCGCCCCCTCCCGCGCTCCCGCGCTCCTCCCCCCCCCTCCTTCGGGAGCGGAAAAGAGGGGGGTGATGACTAGGGGGGGGGTAGATATCATGGCGCGGGCCATGATTTTTCCCCAGATTTCTGGGCGCCTCTTCTTGTTTTATTACGTCCCTGGCCCCCCCGCTGGGCCGCGCACATGCCGCCGGGCATGATTTGCACCCCCCCCTTCTTGGACACCCCCCTCTTGGCCGCTCCCGACTCCTCCCGCGGTCGTGGCCGAGAACCAGGGGAGGCAGCACGTCTACGTCCAGTCCGTCACCTGGACCCCCGCGGGCGGCTCCCCGGAGGCCGTGGTCGGCAACGTCATCAAGTACAGCGCCCTCATGAGCGGCGGGGAGCTGCGCTTCACCATGGGCGGCTCCCCCCGCGCCGGCGCGGTGTCCCGGCACCTGCGGGCGGGGGCCATGCCGCGGCCGGGCGCGTGAGGCCCTGGCCAGCGGGCCGCTGCCGCCCCTCGCCCGGGTCCTTGCCTTAAGTTTCGGGCATGCGCCTCTACAGGAGGAAGGTTTGAACACAGTCAAAAGATAGTTTTTGTGTTTTTTGTTTTTTGTTGTTGTTGTGTTTGTTTATTTGGTTTGTTTTTGTACATATATATATAGATATATGTTTGAATGTGTACATATGCATATATTTTTGTTTTTCGTCCAAAACCGCCTGTAGGGGGACATGCCCGATCTAATCCTTGTCGCCTCGGGACCTCCCGAAGCTGCACCCTTTGTTCCCGGGCGGCTGGCGGCGGCCGCCGCCCTCGCTCGGCCGGCAGTCCGGCCAGCACCGCCCCCTCGCGCGGGCGCGGCAAGAGGAGGCCGCACCTGCCACCCGCTCTCCCGCGGCGCTCCTCCCTCCCCCCAGCCTCCTCCTCCTCCTCCTCCTCCTCCTCCTCCTCCTCCTCCTCCTCCTCCTCCTCCTCCCCCGGCGCGAAGCCGCTTCGTCCGCGGGCCGCTTCGCAGGCGGACCGCTTCCGCCGGCGGCGGGCCGCTCCGCGGGCGGCGGGCCGCTCCGCCGGCGGCGGGCCGCTGCGGCTGGCGGCGGGCCGCTTCGGCTGGCGGCGGGCCGCTCCGCTGGCGCGGGCTGCTTCCCCGGCGGCCCGCTGTGCCGTCTGGCTTTGGGCCCACCAGCCCTCTCTGAATGCATCAGCGCGCTCGCTGTCTTGTCGTGTTTTAACATCATGACGTCCTGAGTCAGTTCTCTGAGAGAACGTTTCGACACGAGCAGCAAGACAGCGAGCGCGTGGATGAATTCGAAGATGGACGAGCGCGTTCCACTACTCGCAGAGTGCCTACTCGCAAACGTCAGAAGTATCCCAGTGCGACCCTACCTAGGAGTTGGAACCCCTGGGAAAGCAGCATCAGTAGTAACAGTAACGCTAAGCTAAAGCTAAGCTAAAGCTAAGCTAAAGCTAAGCCACAGCTAAGCTAAAGCTAAGCTAAAGCTAAGCTAAATCTAAGCTAAAGCTAAGCTAAAGCTAAGCTGCAGCTAAGCTAAAGCTAAGCTAAAGCTAAGCTAAAGCTGAGCTAAAGCTGAGCTAAAGCTAAGCTAAAGCTAAGCTAAACGCTAAGCGACAAGCTAAGCGACAAGCTAAGCGAAACGCTAAGCGAAACGCTAAGCGAAACGCTAAGATAAAGCTAAGCTACAGCTAAGCTAAAGCTAAGCTAAAGCTAAGCTAAAGCTAAAGCTAAAGCTCCCAGGGGACTGGGGGGAACCGCTCCCAGGGGACTGGGGGAACCGCCCGGGGCGCTTTCCACTGCCCAGCCCCTTTAAGCTAAGAGAGTAAGAACCCTTCTAGGCAGAGCCTAGGTAGGGAAAAATACACGTCCGCTTCGATGTGATTTCTCGCAGATCCCCCTGGCGGATCCAGGCCATTTGCGAGTAGTCAGTAGTCACCTTGCGAGTAGTGGAACGCGGTCGTTTATCTTTGAATTCATGAACGCGCTCGCTGTCTTGTTTTTCGTGTCGTAATTTTCTTTAGGACGTTGTGATCTCACAACACAGCAGGACAGGACGTGTCGACAAGCATTGCAACCCGTAAGAGGTCTGGGTTGGCGGCGGACTCCACCGGACAGGGCGGGCGGCCAGCTCCTCACAGGCGGGTCGGGCGGGCGGGCCCCGAGGAGCGGGCCAGGCAGGCGGGGGACCTCCGAGCAGGCGGGCAGCGCGGCACGGCTCCGCGGGCGGCTCCTCGCTCGCGGGGCACGTCGGGCGAGAGCGGACCTTCACGGGCGCCTCGGGCGGGCGGAGCCCAACGTACGGGAGGGCGGGCGGCGGGGCGGGCGACAGACGGGCCCTCGCGGCCGGGCCCGGGCGGCATGCCGGCCCCGCGCACGCTCCGATCGGGGCGGCGCGCCCGCGGAGCGGCTGCCTGGGCGGAGCGGTCTGGGCGGAGCGGCCCCCCGGCGAAGCGGCGCCCGGGCGAACCGGTTGGGTCGAAGTAAAACGACGCGAAGATCGGGACAAAATCGGATCGGGATAACTCGAAATCTCTGAGAATCGGCGGGTTTGGAGGATGTATTGGGCGCCGCGGCCGCTCCAGAGCGTTCCGGAACGCTCTGAGAGCGCTCCGGAACGCTCTGGAGCGATTTATCCCGATCTTAGCCCTGTTTTACGAAGCGGTCCGCAGGCGAATCGATCCGGGCGAAGTGGTTCTGCCTCCCCTCCCCTGTCTCGCCTCCCCCCGTTCCCATCTCCCCCTTCGTCGCTCCTGTCGCTGTCCTCCCCCCCCTTTTCCCCTTGCTCCCACCGGCGGCTCCCCGGTCCACCCTCCTCCGTCTCCCCCATTCCCCTGCCCTCTGCCCGCTCCCCCTCCCTCTCTTCCTTCGCCTCCTCGCGCCCCTGCCCATCCCCGCGCCCCTGCCCTCCTCCGCCCAGGCCCTCCCCGCCTCGCCCGCGAGGTCCAGTGCGCCGGGTGCCGTTGCCGCCCCTGTGCCCCTCTGCCACTCTGTTCGGCCTGCGGTCGGCCCTTCTGCCTCCGTGCTCTGCTTCTCTTGCCGTTCCCCCTTCGGTTGTGTCTTGGGATGTTCCAACCTGCTTCAGCCCTGATAGCCAGAAAGAATTTCGAGCACCACGAAAGTACCGAACCTGGAGGGTTTTCGCGTGTCGGGCCATGGGGGGCGATACTCGGTCGACACTGTTTCGATACTTTTCTGGGTGCTCGAAATTATTTCTGGGATGTGGTCCTGAAGTAGGATGGGCGGAACATAATTTGTGTCCTCGTTCCTGGCATGCCTCGTCTTCCATCTCTTGTCCGTCACCCGTATCCGCTCCCGTATTTTTATTTGCCGGTGGCCTTCTCCATTGCTGCCTCCTCTGCCGTCGTCTCTGCATACCGCGCTTCCGCTTCTCCCATCGCGTCTTATGTGTCTGTCTCTGCTTCTGACTCGGACCTGTTCTTTTTTTGTGACCCTGCTGTGTCTTGTCCTGTCTGAATGGACTGTCTGACTGTCTGATCTGTCTGGCCTGTCTGATCCATCCGGTCCGTCTGGTCCAGTCTGGTCTGCCTGGTCTTGTCAGTCTGTCCGTCTGCACTGCCCGCGTCGGACAACGTCTGGATGCTCTTGTATCGAGGCGCAGGCTGCAGGCTGAGGGCTGATGACAAGGATGCCGCAAATGATGGCCCCGCCTGCCAGGCGAGTACCGACCAGGAGCCGCCCTGGGCGAATCTTGAGACGAAGCTGCAGACGAAGCTGGAGTCGCCAATCAGCAGGGCTGGTGCGCTCGTCATCATCGTTGTGTTCGTCATTGTTCCGTGATCCTCGCAGTGGTCATGTCGTCAGAGTCGTCGGTTGCAGCCGTCATCGTTGGCGGGCAGTGTTAGGGCTCTGGGATAGGGAGGGGTATCTCGCAGTGGTGCCCCCTCTTCTGCAGTGTTTCCGCGCCGTCGCTTGGCCCTGCACTTCATGAGGTGCGTGTGTGAGCCATCGCTCGAGCCTTAAGATCTATCTTGGTGTCTGCCTCGGGTGTTCCTTCAGGGCAGGAGCTCTTGCCGTCCCGTCGAATCTTTGTTTCGTTGCGGCTACCCTCGGTCTTGATCCAACTGAGCCCGTAGAGCGGGAGTCACGGCGAGCCCCCGATGGGAAACTCGCAAGCAGATTTGGCAATCAGCGGCTGTTCGGCAGTGCGGCTTCGGCGAGGTTCGGCACCAATCGTTGCAATGCTTCTTGTGGGGTGGCTATCGCGTCCCTTGGGGAGTCGGGCAGTCTTGGGAGCTAGCTGTGTGCTTTCAGGGGTCCCTGGGGGACGAAGTGCGTGATTGGTGCGCCAAGTTGTACCATCCTTGCGCCGTCTTAAGCATGCTAGCTGGACTGGGGGTCTATGTGGCGCGAAGCGCGCGAGGGGTTTCCGAACCGAGGCTCCCAGGAACCGTCTCGTCTCCGAGGAGATGTGATCCGGCCCTCTTGAGCTACTCTTGCGATCAATTTGGCTTCCTTGGGCCAGCTTGCGCAACATTGGGATTTGTTGGGCCAACCTTGGGGGCAAAATGTGGTTTGGCCGCTTGGGGGCCTCTTGGAGCCCTCATGGTGCCCACCTCGGGCCCCCTCGGGGCCCTTTTCGGGCCCTCTCGGGGCCGCTTCGGGGCCGGCGGGTCCTATTGGAGCCCGCCAGGACGAGAAGGCCCCAAACAGGAGCATACAAGTGGACGACCCTCGATGACTTGGACCTTCGTGGGGGCCCCCGATCTTGTGTCAAGTCGGGCCTGTCCCCCTACAGGGGGATTTTCGACAGAGGGGGGTCAGCCAGAGCGCCCTATCTTGCAGGATCCTGCAGGGCCAGGGTCGCATTGACCCTGGCTTGGGTGCAAGATCCTGCAGAATCTTGTAGGATTCTTCGCGTTGGCCCGGGTTTGGGTGCGGGATCTTGCAGGATCCTGCAAGGCCTGATTGACCCGGGTCTGGATTGACCCGGGTCAGAATATCTTCGAGCTGATGAGAAAAAGGACAACTCAGCCACGCTACCTGTTGTTACCTGCGCTGCGCAGGGTTTCACACGCCGTTGGCCCGCGGGGCCGGCGACTTCGCGTACCTGTCTGCCGGGTACTTCGGCTACCGTTTGCACCGTGTATGGTTCTCCGCTGTTTTGCTGCTGGCTAATTCGTAGGGCTCGCTGGTGAACCTCGAAGCTCGTGTTCTGCGTGTGCGGTTTGTTTTCATACCCTGCTTCTGACTTTTTTGGTGTGAACTTGGTCGGCTCCGATGTGCATCTCGTACTATGTCCATGATCTGATTTCTTCACTTGCTGTGCAGCGACATTGCAGCCCTTCCTAGACTGTTGGGGGAGTTGACGGGCGATTTCTATCTCAAGGTCATGATTCTCGCCCTGCAATGATATCGATATGCTCCGTACGTCTAACGCCGCGCTTCCCCTGCTGGGTGCCTCGGCGGTTGAAACACGGTTTTCGCTGAGAAAAAAGTGGGTTGCTATTGCGTCAGTTGCAGTGTGTCCGCTCCCGCTGTCCAAACAAGCATGCGTGGGTTGCATGGCTTTCCCTTCTTGTGCTGAGTTGCTGGTGGTGCCGCGCCTTGGTGATATCGACCAGGCATACGGAATCATTCGCGTGTAGTGGTCTACCAGGGCGCTGACCAGCTGGTGGGTCATTCAAGGCCACACATCGCGTCGGCGATGTTCGCCACGAGACGGGGTATGTGATTTATTTAATCGCTTCGCTCATTCCGCTGGCCCATAATGTCGCACCGTGGTCGCCTGTCCGAGTGGTCGTTTGCAGTGTGGAGCTGCGGCGTCGGGAGCTGTGTAGTTGTCGATGAATGTGTTAATGCTTTTTCATGGGGCTTCTAGGTGTTTGCAGTTTTTTGACGGCTTTGGTGCCCTCGTGGGGGCGTGTTACCCGTGGTATCCCGCTGTGGGGCCGTTCGAGCCGGGGGAAGAGACATCTTATGCGATAGGGGAACCCTCGTGTCGGAGGGTGGCGGGCTTTGAATGCTAACATTGGCTCTGTTATCGTCCTGATGTCCTCTGGCGTTGCGGACACGGGCGTGAAGGAACACTTTCTTGCGGCGTTTCTCTTACCATCTCTTTTCTAATTGGACCGGGGGAGGAGGAGGAGGAGGAGGACGAGGAGGAGGAGGAGGAGGAAGAGGAGGAGGAGGAGGAGGAAGAAGGAGGAGGGGGATGAGGAGCGATGAGGAGCGCCTTTGTCGTCGTCGTCGTCGTCGCCGAAGCCGCCGCCCGCCGCCGCCGCCCGCCGGCGTCGTCGTCGTCGTCGTCGTCGTGGAGGGTCGAGGCTCGAGGCTGGAGGCCAAACGCGGGGGAGGAGGACCACCTCGACCCGCGTTTCCCAAGTCGCGTCTGGCTGGAGTCTTGGAGGCGTCCTGGGGGCCTCCTTAGGGTTTTTCGGAGGCCTCCAGAGGGCCTTTTTTGGATGCCTCTTGAGACCTCTTGAGGGCCTCTTGGGGGCCTCTTGGGGCCTTTGAGGGCGTCTTGGGGCCTCCCAGGGGCCTCTAAGGGCCGAGAGCTCGAAATTCTGTTTCGGAGCCCCCTCTTGGGGCGTTCTTGAAGCGTTCTTGGGGCCCTCTTGGGCCGTCTTGGAGGCCTCTTGGGCCGTCTTGGAGCCGTCTTGGGCCATCTTGGAGCCCTCTTGGGGGCCTCTTGGGCCCTCTTGGGGCGATCTTGGAGGCCTCTTGAGCCGTTTAGGGGCGTCGGGGAACCGAAAAGGTCAAAACGCCCAAATCTGTCCAAAACCAAAGGAAAACACAGCTTTTTGCCTCTTGGGGCCCTCTTGGGAGTTCTCTTGGAGGCCTCTTGGGGCATCTTGGAGGCTTCTTGGGCCATCTTGGAGACGTCTTGGGCCGTCCGGAGGCCATCTTGGGCGTCGTGGAGCGATCTTTGGGCGTCTCGGACCTCTCTTGGACCGTGTTTGGGGCGTTCTTGGGGCCCTCTTGGGCCGTCCTGGAGGCCTCTGGGCCCGTCTTGGAGCCGTCTTGGAGCCGTCTTGGGCCGTCTTGGGGCCCTTCTTGGGGGCCTCTTGGGCCCTCTTGGGGCGATCTTGGAGGCCTCTTGAGCCGTTTAGGGGCGTCGGGGAACCGAAAAGGTTAAAACGCCCAAATCTGTCCAAAACCAAAGGAAAACACAGTTTTTGCCTCTTGGGGCCCTCTTGGGAGTTCTCTTGGAGGCCTCTTGGGGCATCTTGGAGGCTTCTTGGGCCATCTTGGAGACGTCTTGGGCCGTCCGGAGGCCATCTTGGGCGTCGTGGAGCGATCTTCGGGCGTCTCGGACCTCTCTTGGACCGTGTTGGGGGCGTTCTTGGGGCCCTCTTGGGCCGTCCTGGAGGCCTCTGGGGCCGTCTTGGAGCCGTCTTGGAGCCGTCTTGGGCCGTCTTGGGGCCCTTTTGAGGGCCTCTTGGGCCCTCTTGGGGCGATCTTGGAGGCCTCTTGAGCCGTTTAGGGGCGTCGGGGAACCGAAAAGGTTGAAACGCCCAAATCTGTCCAAAACCTAAGAAAAAAAACATTGATTTTTGCCTCTTGGGGCCCTCTTGGGAGTGCTCCTGGAGGCCTCTTGGGGCATCTTGGAGGCTTGTTGGGTCATCTTGGAGACCTCTTGGGCCGTCTGGAGGCCATCTTGGGCGCCGTGGAGCGATCTTCGGGCGTCTCGGACCTCTCTTGGATTGTGTTGGGGGCCTCTTGGGGCCCTCTTGGGGCGATCCTGGAGGATCTGGGGGAGTGTCCTGGGCGTGTCCCGGGCGTGTCCCGGGCTCCGCCCGGGGTACTTTTGATCCAGGGACCCCCAGGGGCCGCCCCGCGCGCGCGAACCAGAAATACTGTTTACCAGTTACCGGAGATCTTAGCACGCCACGCCTCTGGCCCGTTGGGCCGGCGAATTCTACGTTGCTTATTGGTAAGTTTGGAATTCGCGGCAATATGCTGGACAGTGGTATCGCTATCCTGCGAGAGTCTGACGTGAATGGGCAGCGGGGGAAATTCAGGAACGCAAATGCAAATCTAGCGGCCATCTGTGTTCTTGTTGCCGTTCGTGGCCCCGTGCTCAGAATGGATAGAGGCGGGCTGGAGCCGAGATGGACGGTGCCCGTCCTAGCGTTTCGTGCGCGTTGTAGGCCAGACCAGGGGCTAAGGACTAGGGCCCAGCAGAGCGCTCATAGCATTCATTCAGCCGCGGGTGCAATCTCCCTCTGATGGCCGCAGAGTTTTCCATGCATCCCGACGCCCGTCCTTCTCATTCTCCTGAGCGGGGCTCCTGCGATGGCGACTCGATCCTGTCACTGTCGCCAGGTCAGCTCGCGAAACAGGCGAGGATCGAGAAGCTGATGGCCCGGCAGGACAGCTCCAGACCCCCGTGCGCGAAGGGGCGGGGCACGAGGTTCGTTTTTTGGGGGAAGTGGGAGGGGAGGGAGATGGTGAAGTCGGGCCTGTCCCTCTACAGGGGGAAACTTTCAACATGGTAAAACAACAGCCTGGGGACGATTTTCGGACCACGTTCGACGATCATTCGTATCATTCTTACGATTCTTGTAATTCGTCGCATTCGTACTCCACGTCCTCCTCCCTCCCCGTCCTCCTCGTCCTTCCCCCCTGCTCGTCCTCCTCGTCCTGCTCCCTGGGAACCTGCGCGGAGGCCCTCCGAATTCTCGGGGCGGTCTGGATTGGTTTGGAGGGGCTTGGGAGGCGGCGGACGACTTGGAGCAGCCCGGCAGAGGCTTCGGAGTGGTCTTTTGGCTCGGAGTTGTCACCACAGGGAGCTGGCGGTTTTCTCGTCCACATCTTCCACGGTTAAACATTGCATG